TTTGGTAGCTCAAACCCACAAAGAGGTGACAACAAAGAAAAATATGGGAATCTGCATCCATAAATATTAAAGCTAAGTAAACCCTACTGATAACTTCTGCTATGTGATGCATGGGACAACATGAGTCAAATTTGACTAGATGGCAAAGTGTTTGGTGTTATGGTTTTGGGATATGTATGAGTCAATGTTCTAGTTTCTGCACATTTGCCTGTGGGAAAGACAAAAATCTATATTCTCAGAACTGTATATTGCAGTGGATAAGATAGAAAATATACATAAAAAGTGAAACAAAATGTAAAATATATTAAATAGCAACAAGTGCCAAAGAGAGGGGGGAAAAAAAAAACAAAAACACCTCACTCCCATTGAGTTGCTTCTGATTCATAGTGACTCCCATTGGGTTTCCGAGGCTATGAATGTTTATGTAGTAGATAGCCTGATCTTTCTTCAACAGAGCTGCTGGTGGACTTGAACCAAAGACCTTCTGTTTAGCAGCCAAATGCCTTATACACTACTTCACCAGAGTTTCTTAAAACAGGGAAAGGAAATGAAAAATTTGGTATTAAACTACCAACTAGACAAGGTTTCATTGAGAAGGTAATCCTAGATAATATCCGGAGGAAAGAGGAAAGTGAGCTAAGAGGATTCTTGCTGAAAGCACCCCAGTACAAGGCACACATGACTGCAAATAGCCTCGAGCAGAAGAACAGTAAGTAGCCTTGTGTTTTTTAAAACAGCAAGATGACAAGGATTCACACAGTGGGAGATATAGAAGATGAGGTCAAAGAAGGTAGATCATACAGTCTTGTAATTCATAATAAATACTTTGGCTTTTTATTCTGAGTGTGAATGAAATTTCTATTCCCAGAGGAGAAGAGACATGCTTCAATCCTTGTAGCCATAATTCTGGAAGATCAACAAATGAATGGTTAAATGGAAGGGCAAGCTGCAGCACATACATGCAATGGAATAGCACACAAACATAAAGAACAATGATGAGACCATGAAACATATTATAACACTAATGGATATGGAGGATGTAATGCTGAAGAAAAGTAATGAAATGATAAGTATTGTATGATTCCTCCTTTATAATAAGTCAAGTTGTTGTTATCTGCCGTGGAGTCAAACCCAACTCATAACGACCCCTCCTTGGGTTTCCGAGGCAGTATCCCTACGGAAGTAGGATTGCCCAACCTTCCTTCCGAGGAGTGGCTGGTGGGTTTGGACCGCCAGCCTTCTGGTTAGCAGGAAAGTGTCTTAGCCACTATGCTACCAGAGCTCCCAATAAGTCAAGAGAAGGTCAATATAGAGAGACCAGTATTTATAAATTGTTGCCAGGAAGAGGTGTGTGGGGAAATTACACTTTATACAATAGGGACTAGTCATTTTTAGTGATAGGAATTGTGGCACAAATTGTGTATGTTGTCAGCACAGCACAACCATAAAGAACAATAATGTATCTGTAAAATATATTATAACATGGGTGGACCAGAAGGGCATAATGCTAAGTGAAATAAGTCAATCACATAAGGAAAGATAATCTATGTTTCTTCAGTTATAGAAAGACGAGAATAGATAAATAGAGAGGGACCAATCTTTACTAATAGTTATCAGGAAGAGGGAGTGAAGAAACTACATTTTATACAAAGAAAATAGTTATTTTTGTGATGCTAAAAGAAGCACTTTTTGTGGATGTAGTGAGTATACAAGCAAAGTAATAACAAGACTTTGAGTTTATATGGATGCACATAGGTCAATTGAACACAGGTAGCTACAGATGGATAATAGTTGAGAAAAGATGGAAGTATCTATGTTGTTCTTATTGTTGTTATATGCTGTCAAGTCGGACCCAATTCATAGCAACCCTTCCTTGGGTTTCTGACACGGTATCACTGCAGAAGTAGATTGCCCAGCCTTCCTTCCAAGGAGTGGCTGGTGGATTTGAACCACCAGCATTCTGGTTAGCAGTCAAGTGCCTTAGGCACTATGCTACCAGAGCTCCTGAACCACCATAGGCATGTATAGATGCAAATATGTGGGTGAAGGCACATATATTTCCTGAAAACAAAAATATGGATACTCCCCAAACATAAACATATACTTTCTAACACTGGCTTTCCATGTTTGAAGGTTAGAACCATTGTTGTTGTTGTTATGTGCTGTGGAGTCGGACCTGACTCAGTGACCCCTTCTTGGGTTTCTGAGGCTGTATCACTATGGAAGTAGATTGCTCAAACTCCCTTCTGAGGAGTGGCTGGTGGGATTGAACCACCAGCCTTTCGGTTAGCAGTCAAGTGCCTTAGGCACTATGCTACCAGAGCTCCACTAGTTTCATAAAAAAAAAAAAAAAACTCAGTCAATTGGCATGCCATCATTCACAAAAAAATCACAATATGCATTTTAGTTAAGTGAGTAGTGTCTGAGCTCTTAAAAGCATATTAACAGCCATTTCAGCTATAACTATGGGTCTCGACTCACCAGAAGCAAAACAGTAAGGGGGTAACAAAAAGTGCAGAGAATAAAAGAGTTCAAAAGCCATAACCTCATCTACCATGAGACCAGAGAGCTAGATGGCACCTAGCTACCACAAGTGACTATTCTGATTGAGGCCACAGTAGTTGATTCCAGATAGACTAGGAGAAGAATGTGGAGCACAACTGAAAACCTTATTAACAAACAAACAAACAAAAACCCAGCCTAAGTGCCCTTCAAGAGGAGAGTGGATAAACAAACTATGGTACATGCACACAATGGAATATTATGCAACACAAAAGAATAATGTGGAATCTATGAAACACCATATACCATAAGTGAACTTGGAAGACATTATGCTGAGTGAAATAAATCAATCACAAAAGGATAATTATTGTATTAGTTCACTATTGTAAAAATTCAAGGAAAGATTTATATATGGAAGGAAGTTTTCTTTGGTGGCTACCAGAGATGGAATAGGAGGGGAGGGAACACTGGTATGTAGATAGAGAAAAGTATTGTTTTGGGTGAAGGGAAGGGCAATGTACCAAAAGTGAGTGATCAACATGGTGGCACTGAAGAAGGGGAAGACACAAAAATGTACATGAGAAGTACAGACAACAATGATGAATGCTTTTGCATGTACAGAACTGTGTTGTCAGTGAGGCAAGCATTGATCTACAGGTGAATAGATGGGTGGACAGGCTGAACAATCAGGTATGTCTAGGTGGCGAGGAGTGTGCCTAGTAGACAACATCTCTACATGTATATTTGAATGTGCTATAAGAATGTTCAGATGTATCATAGAGCTGATAAGAGGCAAAGTTGTGGTGGCTTCTTGGCCACAGCCTGATACTCAAAGGGAGCAAGTAGTTAGACCTATGAGCTTGGGATCCTTCTCACAGGGGACATCAAGCTCAGTTGGGATAGCATCAAACTAAACCAAACTCACTGCTGTCGAGTCAGATTTGACTCATAGTTTGGGTTTCTGAGACAATATCACTACAGAAGTAGATTTCCCAGTCTTTTAACATATTACATAAAAATATTGTTCTATATCTTACTTTGGCAAGTAGAGATTGGGGTCTTAAAATCTTTCAAGCAGTTGTCTAAATGCACGATGGTTGTCTCCTCATCTAGAGCAAAGAAAAATGAAGAAAACCAAAGATGCATGGAAATGATTAGTCCAAGGGACTAGTAAATCATGTGATCCTCAGCCTATTTGACAATAAGACCAGAAGAACTAGATAGTACCTGGCTAACACGGTCAACCACTCTGAGGGGAATTGGTGCAGGAGATCCTGGATAAAGTGGGAGTGAGAAAGCATTATGGAACAAATCTCAAAATCATAAAAAAAAAAAAAAATGGACCAGGTTTGCTGGTCATATAGAGCCTGGTAGAATCCCTGAGACTATGGCCTCTAACTGCTTTTCAGGTCTGGAATTGAACCCTCTCTGGTGACTTCCAGCCAAACAAAAGACAGGCATATGAGCTGAACATTTACATTAGGTAGATACACTCCTTGGAGAGATCATTCATAGGAGAATAGAATGGTTGTGTATGCATAGGAAGACAGTTCAGGGGGTATAAGTGCATGGGTGGGAAGGACACAGAGAAGTAACTATAAGAAGGAAGTGGGAAGAGAGATGTAGAGAGATATAGAGTTTGTGGACACTGAAGTTGAAAAGGAGAAAGAGCAAAATAAGTAAGGAGGTTAGACAAAGAAGGAAAATAAAACAAAACGAAGATACAGTAAATGGATCATTAGGCACAGATATAGAAATAAAAATGAATATAAATATTAGTGATTATATATATATATGCATGTATATACATATATATATATATATATTTATATAGGTATATACATACATGTGTGTGTATATATACCTATATCTATCTATCTATCTATCTATCTATCTATCTATATATCTATATATATAGAGAGAGAGATATATGAGAGAGAGAAAGAGACATATATGTGTAAGTTTAGATATAGGTATAGATATGATTATAAGTACAGAATATCACCATATATCTACATTTACATAAGAAAGTTTATAGATCCCACACCAGTGCAATTATTAGGAGTTTCCTATTTACTCACAAAAAGGTCTATTTTTATGATAAATTTTATTTTCTCAGTAGGTAGAGACAAATATAGATACACAGATGAAATACACACTATGCCAACAAGTAAATTTTGATCATAGAGGACAGAGTAGAACTGCTACATAAGGCTTAAAAAGCTGAAAGCTTTTTGAAACACAGTGCCATAGCTTTCTCCTGCTGAGATGCTGGTGGGTTGGAACTGTTGAACTTTTGGTTAGCATCCCAATGCTTACCCACTCGGCCCAAAGAACTTCTTATATATAGGCATAACTATAATTATATTCATGTATGTGTGTACTAATTTCTAGGTATACACATGTATGTGTCTATGTGTCAATAGAAAATTATTATTCCTATAAAATTTTCCAAACTTCCTGTGAAATCAGATTAAGTGAAATGTAAGTGAGCGGTATCATCCTTTCTGTAAACATGTCTTAAGACATAAAAATTTTCTGAGTGCTCCTTTTACTTCTGTGTTTCTCAGGCTGTAAATTATAGGGTTTAGCATTGGTGTAATCACCCCATATAGCATTGAGATGAGCCTGTCTCTGGCTGGTGAATTGTGACTGGAGGAGGGACGGATGTAGGTAAATATTGTTGTACCATAGAATAAACAAACCACAAGGAGGTGGGAAGCACATGTGGAGAAGGCTTTACGCTTCCCTTCTGCTGATCTGATCTTCAGGATGGTGGATATGATGTAGATATAAGAGATTCCAGTGATCAGGAAGGCACTGATCCCTAAGACACCTCCTACCACTAAGACAAGCATTTCTGCCACATATGTGGAGGAGCAGGACAAGGCTACCACTGGGGGAATGTCACAATAATACTGGTTGATCTGATTAGATTTACAGAAAGACAGACAGAATGTAAATACTGTGTGCAGAAGAGAGTTCAGAAACCCTGCTGCCCAAGTACTGGCTGTGAGCTGGACACAGCGCCCCTTTGTCATGATGAGGGTGTAACGAAGAGGGAAACATATAGCCACATACCGGTCATAAGCCATGACAGAGAGAAGGAAGACTTCAGTCCCGGCTAAAGCCACTAGGAAAAAGAGCTGTAAAGCACATCCAAGAAAAGAAATGCTTTTCTTCTCAGTCAGGAGGTTCTGAAGCATCTTGGGAACAGTAGCTGATGGGCAGAAAATGTCTAAGAGGGACAGATTTGCCAAAAAATAATACATAGGTGTGTGTAGCTTTTTCTCAGCCCCAATGGCAAGGAGAATGGCCCCATTTCCCACCAAGGTGACCTGATAAATGGCAGCAAACACCACAAAGAGAGGGTAGCGCACCTCCGGGAGGTCAGAGAGCCCAATGAGGATGAACTCTGTGACGGTAGTTTGGTTGTAGACATCCATCTCTGCTCTCCACGAGGGTCTTTCTGCAGGAAATGAAATCAACAGACAGAGGTTAGGCTCAAATCCAAGAAGCCCAGTGATATGAAACACGGGAAATAGTGGATGTTTGGTTGGTGATGCATTGCACTAGACCAATTTTTAAGTAGAAATTTCACATATTATAATAACTGTGTGCATGATATTTCTTAGACTATTTATTCTCAGGTCCTTAACAAGAGCCATTTAAATTTCACCCTAGCAGTAAAACCACTGTTGATTCTTAAGCAGTATGGGAGATTTTGCAATTCGAGGAAAGCTAAGTGAAGTTAGCACTCATACTTAAGACACTTACTTTATTGTTCCTTGTATAATCTCACTGTGTATAGTTTTATGCATTTTCTCTTCACTAAATTCCTTGAAGATAGAATTTCCGTAGTAATCCTTGATACATTTTAATAAGTAGTAGCAGCTAGTTAACACAGGCTAAATGCATAAATATATGAGTATTAAGTGCAAAAATCATTGATTGTGTGTTATTCCCTCAGAAGAAGTGTTTCTGCAGAACTTCAAAGTCATAGCCATTTAAATATGGATGTTGACTTCTTATTTCTTCAAAGAATACACATTAATAAGATTAAATTTAATCTGAAAAATATCAATGAAACTTAGTTGACCCTGTCTAAATGTCCCTAACAACAAACATACATACTCACATATATTTTCAACACCTTTTTCCCTTAAATTCTACATTTTACCCTATTTACAAGGATTCCTAAGGATACACAAAATTTCAAAAATTGAATGTGATAGTACATATCAAATTCATAATTGTTGCTGTTGTTGTTAGGTCTCATCGATTCATCTCTGACTCATAGCGACCCTATGCACAGCAGAATGAAACACTGCCCGGTCTTGTGCCAGCTTCAGGATCTTTTCTATACCTGAGCCCATAATTGCAGCCACTGTGTCTATCCATCTCTTTGAGGGTCTTCCCCTTTTTCATTGACCTTCCACTTTACCAAGCATGATAGCCTTCTCCGGGGAATGGTTCCTTCTTACATGACAATGTAGGTGAGATGAAGTCTGGCCATTCTCACTTCCAAAGAGCATTCAGCTGCACTGCACTTCTTCCAGAATAGATTTGTTAGTCCTTTTAGCAGACTATGGTACTTTTAACATTCTTCTCCAATACCACAACTCAAAAGCATCAACTTTTCTTTGGTCTTCCTTACAAACTCATAATTAGTCTTTGATAATTTTCTTATTACTTTTGAATGTACCTTAATTGCCCAAATACCATGTTTACAATGACTTAGAAAAAGACTTGACTTTAACTGAAGGTTGGCAAATCAGTATTTTTGTGGAATTTTTATATCATGTTGAAAACTAATTTCTTTTCAATTTCCTTTAACATTACAGGTCCAAGAGAATACATGGTTGGGCATTTAAATGCAGAACTCATGTTCTAATACCACTCGCTTTGTTTTGTCTATGGAAACTGGTAATAATATCTTCACTTGGAGAAAATATTGAGTGTAAATAATGCAAAGAATATAAACTATTTCTGTGCACAAATGATAACACATTATTTTCTACCACTTTTTTTTTTTTTTCTTTCCTGAACCATTTAATAAATGTTGCTGAAAGTACATGGGAGAAGACAGTGCAATATTCTACTGGATAACATTTTCCAATCAACTAAAATTTGCTGAATGAATGAATGAACCAAGATTGAAATCAACAGCAAATACCTGCTGTATCAATTCTCTAATTCATACATGTTCAAGATTCATTTATATATGATTATTTTAAAGAATAATAGTTAAGGAAATTAAAAATATACTTTCCTTATATATACTTTTGAAATTGTACATGTTAAGTTATATAAATACCCACTTTTTTTTTTTTTTTTTTTACCCTATACTTAACAAATTTTCTCCTTCTGTCTAAACAGAGATTATAAGAAAAAGTCAGTGAGTTCCTAAAGAAAACACCCAGACTGGCTCTACATCAGACTACATGATCAACATATAATCTAAAACTATTAACACATTTTCTCTAAATATTGACTTCTTCATTATTTTAAAATCAAACTTAATGGTCTTAGCCTATAGAGTGAAGTAATTGTTCTAGTGGGAAAGAAGCTTATAAATATGTCAACAGTATCTTTTCTTTGAAGCACATATAATTAAAAATCATGTGTTTTTCCACCGATGTAGAAAAATAGGAACTCTGTTTTTGTTAGTAATGTATTATTGAGGACAATAATTTGTCCTTATTAACTCAATGGATCTATACCTCATGTAGGAGAGAATGAGAAAGTAATTAAGAAATGTGATCTTTCCATCTTCTTTTTAAGATCATTTTTGTAAATATCAGCACATGGGGACATTAAGAGCACATGCTGAAGTCAGTTTTTATTACAGTCATAGAATAAGGAGATTTACTATCCTGGCAAATCAAGAAATGGAATATTTTATTTTATTTTCCTATTACATATGGTTACAGGTAAATGTGCCATATATGAAGGATTTCTTTTTATGATTTAGGTACTTCAACTTTCCCTTATATAGAAAAAGGAAAACTAGTTAACTAAGCAAAATCATCACTAATTAGATCTTAGATATTAATATAATGAAAAATTTACAATTTTTTAGTAAAGGAAATAACCCTTTTAAGTTTTCTTAGAAAATAGGAGGATACATATTTTTCTCAAAAAAAAAAAAAAAAAGATATTGTTAAGGAATATAACCTTCCTTTCCAACTGATGAAATGATAGCTAATAAATTAGAAGAAGGAGAAAAAAACAGAAAAACAACTTCTAATGTAATCCCTCAATCTGTTTAATCATAGCCTTGCTGCCTACTGGACTTGTTTCTATGGAACATAAATCTAGGTTCACGTTCAGACACATTCCTTCCTCGAAATAGTAAATATTTATGTTCAAAGTATTTTGACACACATGCAGCTGAGCATGCAAATGAATCAGTAAATTCTTTATGCAGTAATTTATTCAATAACCCTAGAATATTGAAAAATATTAACTCTATCCTACACATTTAATATTCACATTTAACATGTTCTTTAAATGTATAAAATTTCATGCTATATTTACATCTTTAAAAACACCCATTTTTCACCTTAGTTTAGAAATTATAGAATTTAGCATACAATTTTCTTGTCTTTTAAGTTTCATAGATTTTGTTACCAATGTGAAATTTCCAGTAGAAGAAAATAAAATGATCCAACCAATAAAAAATGCAGCAGTAAAGAAAATAGATGTATCATTTATATTTAAGGCTCCTATTGGAATTTATTCTGTAAATTATATTATGCCCATTTTCCCCTTAGGGGGAAAAAAAGAAAACAATTAGAATTCTAAGGAGAATATCTTCTCATCTTGAAAATCTAAATTACTGCTAACAAAATAATAGGCACTTACTTTTTAATGAATGTTTTGATAAAAGTTGAAAAAGAAATCCAAATTGTGGAGAGTGACAATTTTCTTTCTTATATTGGTCTAGTTAGGGAAAAAAATAACAAAAAAATATTTTTTCCAAGAATTGCATTGCTAGAACAAACTAAAAAAAATTAATAATTATGTTACATTTTCTTGTCATTTAAATGAACATTTCAGATATATTATATCCAATTTTTAATAGTTTGTATTCTTCATGATAGATTAATGTGAACACTATTTTGAGCATTATTACATATATTTATATTAAGACTATATGCCATGCATGTAAAATAATTGATTTCTTCAACATTTTATAGACAAATTCAATAAAAAAGTTAATATTACCTGCTAGCTTGACTTTACAGCAATATAAAAATTTCCATAGAGAATGTAAGCATATGCAAATAAATATAATAAATTACTATTTTAATCAAAATTATATATGCTTGTAATACATATTTAATGAATTCATGAGCTCCTATCACCATTTCTAATTCTAATAAAATATAAGTAAAATATCTTAAATTAACTTAATCTTGTAGTTATTACATCAGTACTACTATCACCACTAAGAAACAAAGTTCAAGATGATAATTCTTTTTGTATTACGAATGCATTTAACTAAATTTGTGTACACAGGATACTGTGCTCATACATTGTTGAATTTATTTTATTTTATGGATACATTAGAAATTTGATATACAGTTAGCTTGCTTTTCTTGTTTACATTCAATATTATCACTTTTTTATTCACTTAAATATGATTTTATTTTAATAAGAATATGTACACACATGACTAGAAAAAAATGTTTGGACTTTTCACTGTCATCTCCATTTCACTTACCTTATTTTCACCTTCAATAATATTGTTCAATATTTTTAAAAATTATTTTCCTGTCTTTTTAATGACCTTTTGCTTTCTTTATGTATGATGTCATTAATATCATCCCACAACTCAGCTGATCTTTGGTCATTGATATTCAATGTATCAAATCTGTTCTTCAGATAGTGTCCAAATTTAGGGGACACATAATCAAGTTTATTTGTTGGTTCCAGTGTACTTGTTTTAATTTTTTCAGCTTCCATCTGAACTTTCATATGAGCAATTGATGATCTTTTCCACAGTCAACACCTGGCCTTGTTTTGACTGATGATATTCTGCTTCTCTATTACCTCTTTCTGCAGATGTAATCCATCTGATTCCTATGAATTCCATCTGCTGCAGTTCATGTGTCTCATCATTGTTTATGTTGTTAAGATGATTATTTCCAATGAACAAGTCATTGGTCTTAAAATATTCTGTCACACAAACTCTGGTGTCATTTTTCTCACCATCAAAGTAGTTTCCAATGACTGATGTTTCTTCTTTGTGCCCAACTTTTGCATTCCAATCACCTATTGTTGTTGTTGTTGTTATGTGCTGTCAAGTTGGACCTGACTCATAGTGACCCCTACTTGGGTTTCTGAGGCAGTATCACTGTGGAAGTAGATTGCCCAACTTTCCTTCCAAGGAGTGGCTCGTGGGTTTGAACTGCTGACCTCCTGGTTAGCAGTCAAGTGA